AACAGGTGAGCATGCGTTGTGACTGGAAAATGAGACCATTTTAAGCCAAGCAAGGTCATCTTCTTGAAGGCGAGTACCTACAGAAGCTGCATGGGGGAAGCGTCCCCAGGCTCGGGCTCAGCTTGAGCACCATCATGGAGTGGCTGCTGTTGTTGCTGTTGTTGCTGTTGTGGTGACGGCTGCGGTTGTGATGAGGGCATGATGTCTGATGTTGCTTCAGGGTGCAATGGTGGATCTGATGTCTCAGCGCTGTCCTCCACATTAGCGGAGGACCCTGGGCCGGTGATGGGTTCAGAAGGGGATGTCGTTGATGACTCAGGCTCACCATTTGCAGGAGCGCGGGAACTGGCGCGTCTACGTGCGCCGGTTCGCAGACGAGGCGTAGCCAAGGCTGCGTTACTCGGCGGGTCATACCGGATCTCCTCATTGACGCGTTCGAAGACGAACCAGGTTTGTTCATGAAACGGCTTGAGCTTAGCGGCCCCAATCGATCGAATCTGTTTAATTGACTTGGCATTCGGGAATCGTGTCCAGTGCTTTTCATGCAGGTGTTCGGCAAGTCGTTGCAGAGTGCTGGACTGTGGAGGCTTGACGTTGGGAATAGGGTGCTCTTTGAGAGCCTTGATGAGTGCGTTTTGAAAAAGCGTATTGCCGAGTGCGGCGCAGGTGATTTGAGACCTGAAGGCGCGGCCGGGACCAGGGTACCAGGCGTGCGAGCGAAGCGACATCGATGAGAATTCAACCAGGTTATGTTGGTCAACACAGCTGCGTAGGGCTGCTGTCACGTTATCAGAACAAGCAAACCAACAAAAAAGGGCTCGACAATCGACTCACCCTAAATTGATCGGCAGGGGAACACCTGGTGGAGGTCGAGGGCATGGAAGGAGCGATGATGGCGCCTGCGTGCTCGCAGCCGAAGGCGATGGGGCTCTTTCTGCGGTCACGGGCGGTTGGGCACTGGCGGCAACGTCGGCAACTTCATCTGCCACGGTCGTTGAAGCTGTGGCAACAGATCGGGTCCCTATTGGAAGCCGCAATCAGAGCGTGCGCCTAATGAGGCTGGCTAGAAAGTGGGCCACATCACACGCGGAGCCCACCTTGAATGGGAAAGAAGGTGTCGATAGTTGCTGCACGTCGTCGTTGTTGACCATCGCAGGCCATGGCATGGCGGTCTCTTGGCATGGTCAGATCTGCTCAGGGTTGGCAAGGTATCCCTTTGGCAGCTGGCTTTGATGCGCGAAAGAGATGAACAAAATTGGAAAAAAAAAAATGAAATTGTCAACCAGAAGTAATATACTTTCAACCCCTTTATCTCATGTTGAGATTTGAATTATTGAAGCCCTCAAAAATGGCCTGAACTTATTCAGAATAGCAACAAAGATATACAAATATTTCGAGCCCCATCATGACAAAGAATACCTTTTATGAATCAAGTCAGAACGTAAATTTGGGCAAAAGCAATTCAAAAAGGTATTCTACAGAATACAGGGGATCGAATATGTCAAAGTACATGACATTTCCTCCCGAGGGTAATTGCCCCAAGCCCTTGTTTTAAACCAGCGGAAGGGCATTCATTGGTTGGAACACGTGTTGCAGGCACAGGAGGTGTCTCCTCTTCATGCACACGCTGGAGATGGGATTTGAGGGTGGCTGAGCGATCATGGCGGTAGCCGCATCCCTCCACCGGGCAATGAAAGTTCCCATCTTCTTCTCGGTGCCTCATGATGGTTTGCCCATTGAGCCTGACGGACGTGCTTTTTTGATGGACCTTGTTAGCGTCAGATCCGTGCTTCCACGCATTTGAACACTCCCACTGCTTTCGCACACACTCAGCATCGGTCGCTATGGGTCTTCCTATTGGTATTCCATAGCTACGACGACCTCACACATTGACACCTACTTTTGGACCCCCTGGGCTTGATCCTCCTCGTGGCAGTCACATGAGTAAACACCGCGTGTGACGCGGTCCCCACGATGCCTGGGCAGCTGCCCTGGGGCAATAAGCTTGTGGCTACTGTTGTTTCCCTTTGTTGTGACACCTGCGGTCGGGCACGAGTTGCACTTTCCCTATCCTCGGGATTGAGCGACTCTACAGCTATTCTAACGGTGCACCTGGTCTGGTCACTGTGAATGCTTGCCGACCGCAGGTACGTCAAGCCCTCTGCCATTCTGTCTTCCCCTTGCTCTCCTGTGTGCTCTGCTCTCTTGTGACTTTCCCTATCCTCGGGATTGAGCGACTCTACAGCTATTCTAACGGTGCACCTGGTCTGGTCACTGTGAATGCTTGCCGACCGCAACTAATTCAATTGACCTCAAGACACCACCAAAGCTTTCGCTCCGTTCCGACGGACGTCTCTCAAACCTCTCTCAAAACGCTTCCTCAAACCTACGCGCTTCCTCGCAACCCAAAGACGGCCTCCAGACGTGCTGGAGCCTGACATGGTAGCGATTGAAAACTTCGATCGACCGACCGCCCTTCTTCAATCTTTGCGCTGGATAGCATGTCCTCGCGCACCCGTTCGCGAACTGGGCCCCCTGGCCAAGGAACCCACGAGCTTAACTTGGAGTCGGACACGGAACCTGACACAGACCCTGTCGCGGAGCCTGTCGCGGAACCTGTCATGGAGCCAATGA